AAGGCATCTCAGTCTTGCATAAGAGAATGAAAGGGGATTGTTTTTGTTTAAACCATATACATTTAAGTATATATAGAAAATAAGAACAAGGTGTATAGGTGAGAAAATGTTACCTGTGTTGGAAGTGACTGAGTAATGGAAGTGATGATAGTTGATTGAGGAACTCTCATATCACTTGCGGTTGATTCATCATCTAAAACCTCAGTGTCAACTCTATCAACTTCATTTAGAAGGTTGTCATCTGGCTAAAAAACATGCTCATGGACAGGAGAACTTCAGTCGACAGGAGATGTGTGACTGTCAGAATTAGTGGGTAAGTCAATTGGAGCTTCTCTGACATGGTCTGAATTAACTGGATCTTCTTGAGCATGTTCAGAGAAGGTTGATTCTTCTAGAGAAGAGGCCACACCAGGAAAAGTGATGACTTCATCAGTTCCATGTGGCACCCCTCTAAGAGGGAAGGCCATTAGGTCTCCTAAAGCCACTTCTTGGGGAATTTCAGACAAAATTTGAGCCAGTTCAGGAGCCAAGTTTCCTAAAATGGCTCTTCGTTGGTTAATTTGTTCTTTCTCAAGGGGGTTTGGTTGAGACTCAGGCAATTCAGTTTGGCTTTCAGGAGGACTAACTTGTGCCTCAGCCAGTTCTTCATTCTCAGGAAGAGGAGGAGGTAGGTTGATATGAGTTTTAGGTATATTTCCATGAGAAGAAGAAGAGGTGGTCAAAGAAACAAGTCTTCTCTTTTTGTGTGACTTAAGATATGTCTGAAAAAGAAAGAGGAAAATGTTAGACAAGCAAAATAGAATGTCATGTTTGAAATGGTAATAAAATTGATAGATTGAGTAAGATTCATACTATTATGGGACGAGAAGATGAACTACTTGAAGAAGAAGGAGCTGGTGCAGCAGGAGCTTGTGAAGGAATTGGTTGTCCTTGCTTTCTTTTAGGTCTCCTTGCAAGTGCTACACCACTGGAAGAGGAAGAAGCTGGTGCAGCCAGAGATGGTGGAGGAATTGGTTCCTCTTGTCTTCTTTTAGATCTCCTCTCACGTATTGCATTACCTTCTGATGTTGGTTGAGAAATACCACCTTCTGGTTGTGGTTGATATGCAAAGAATCTTTGAAGTTCTTCTTCTCTAGTCACCCTTTGTTCAGTCTCCACATCTAGGTTGTAAGGTGTGAAACCTTCAACATTGGTGGTGTTTAAGGGATTACCCTTATGCTTTCTTTTCTGGATAGTGGGAGTAGGCAATTCTATAGCCAAAGGAATGGCTTTGACTGAGGGCTCAGCTGCATATATATATAGGAAAGATATATCCTGTTATACATCATTTTTAACAAGAAATATAAAGCAAGAAGAAGATGGTTGTTTACCAATGCTCATGGTCGCTCCTTTTTTGTTGTCAGGATGCACATGGCAGAGGCATATTTGAGTGTCTTTATTAGAGATTACTACACTCATAAGGAACCACCAGTCTCTGAATCTTGTAGAGAGAAAGGGTGTGACTTTGCAGTAGTAGAAGTTGAATTGATCAAATAGTTGTTGATTGTGGGCTAGAAGGGCCTCCACAACTGTTTGATGTTTGAATTGAATTCTAGCTCCAACTTGTTCATGAATAGTGGGATGAAAATATGGGCAAGGAACAGTTTGGTAGAGGCCCATTTGCCTAGCCCATTGACAGGGGTTATTACTTTCAAAACTGTAGTTAGAAATTCTACTAGTTGAGAGGGACCCTCCTACTAAGATGTATCTTGGAGTAAGGATCTGAGCCCAAAAATGCTTTTGTTGTTGCCTCAACTCATCACCCAATACAGAAGGATCATCATGGACATAGGTGAGTCTAGATGAGGTGTTGTGAAGTTGGTGAAAAGGGATGAAAAGCTGAGGATCTCGATCAATAGGTAGTTCATAAAGAATAGTGAACACCTTAGTGAATCAGTTAGAGGTAGCTGGCCTAAAGGAAAGAAAAAACTCGGCATAGATGTGGCATGTGGGGAGAAATGGAGTTTGAGTAGTAGGCCTAATCTTAGGAAAGTAAGAATAAAGTCAGGCTTGGAAAAGGCAGAAAGGGCCACTACCATTATGATCAATTTCTTTATGCACTAAAGAAAAGAGACCTCTGTATAAGGTGCCTAGTAAAAAGGGGGCAAGAGCCAATTCTATACCCTCCTGAATGCAAGTGGCTAATGCTAGGTATTCTTTAGTGATTTTCAAATCAGGAACACAAAGAAAGTGTTGGAAAGCCATAGTAAATAAAAAGCTGTTCTTTCCTCATCTGTGGGTTCAATGCCAAATTTTTGGTACTTTTTTTGAAATTTCCCATAACAGAGGTTAGTGTCCAAATTGATAGGTGTTTTTGGGGTTAAAAGGGCACTAATATGTTGACCAGAAAGAGAGAGGCCAGTCAAATGGACAACATCAAGAATAGTAGGTGACATCATACCACATTTTAGAATGAGGGAATTACATGATGAAGACCAAAAACATGTAGCAGCACCAATGGCCCATTTGTCCATATATAGAGAGAGAGTTGATAACCTGATGGCATCATAAATACCTAAAGCTCTCCAGAGATCAATATCATATATCATCATTCGTTGGACCCATCGTTTCCAGTTTGGATTGGGTTTTTGCCATGTGCGTAGAGGATTAGGGCTAGAATCCCAATGTTTCCATGACAGCTCTGCTTTGTTGAAGAGTAAGGTTTCAGTGTCTGCAATAGGACAGCACTGGCCAAGTTCATTCGGAATGATTACATTGAAAGTAGGGCCTTGTTCTCTTTCTCCAGGGTTGCCATGACGTGGGATAATGCAGCTGTTAAAGATGTTTTGACGCAGTAGTTGCTGAAAATCAACTGGAAAACGTTGGATAGATGATGGCTTAGTTTGTTCTTTCCTTCGACCTGATCTCATTTGGGTGCCATTAGAGAATGTGAGCAGAAGGGTTTTTCGAAGCCAGAGGTTTGAAGAAGCAAATAGCAGAGAAAGATAGAGAATGATGGAATGATGATTTGAATTCTGGCATTCAAATAGCTTGTAGTGGGCCCTCAATTTTAACGTTTGGGCTTTATCTGATAGTTTGATCAGTTGGGGTTACTCGAAGTTCTTGGAAATTATGTTGGATTAACTTTTAGCATTTGGGCCTTATTACAAATCATGGATAAACGGCCCAAATATATAAATGTCCAACTTTATTTCTTTTTAAATAATCATTCAAGGCAAAAACTCTTTTTTGTCTTGAATGAGGGGGGCATTGTTGACACTAAAAATTGCATATTCTCTGTCGATTGTCTGTAACAAATGCAGAGAATTGGTCTAGTGGATGCTAGGTTTAAAGGCTACGAGTTTCCACAAGTTTACAAGTGAAAAGCGGGTGAATACGAAGCCTAGAATACAGAGCAAGTGATAAAAAGGAAATGGTCAAAGAGATAGACGTGGCCATTGCAGTTTTTCCCTGTCGATTCGTCTAGTAATGAAGTGGAACGTGGCCAAACATGGCCCAGGTGTCAAGCCATAAAGTTAGCATACAAGATATACAGGATACGTGTTGTGTTTCCTAGAAGGAGAGAAACTGCAACAGAGAAGCAGTTACTGGCAGTTGCAGAGATCATGGGCACTGAAGTGGAAGTAGTTGGCTATGTGATGGGACACGTGGCAGCAGAGCAGCAATGGAGTTTGAAGACCAACAATATAAAAGCTAGAAATTCGAAGTTTGGAGGATCTTCAAACAAATTTACAACCTTTATAGCATTAGGAGTAACTTAACTTAGTTCTTACTTAGGAGTAGTCTATCTGTAGTTTAGTTTCTGTAACTAAGAATTCTCCGTCGATTGTCATCTACATTGAACTGGAAGTTTAATTTTACTGATTAAATTCCAAGTTTGTTTGTTCAACAATTGATTTTCAGTATATTCCTTCTTGTTTCTTTGCATTACAGCCTCTAAAGAAGTCCTTGAATCTGTCAAGGCATAGAACGTTCAGACCACAATTGTTTGATCTATTGTTGTTTGTGAAATTCTGGGTTTTCTGTCAAATCACATCTGTCGATTTGGCCCAGACCAAATTTTTTGCTAACAGATTTTGGTTTATGTTTCATTGCATATATACACACACACATTGTCTCTTTATTAAATTTTTTGTTCAACATTTGGCTGTGTAATAAAATTATTTTAATTTTCTGTTATCAGTATCTAAGGCCATTTTACTCTTTAGTTTGTTTCAAATATTGGTGATGGATGGAATTATTTTTGCTTCAATGTAATAGGTGTCAAGGGTTTAGTGCTGTTTTTATTTATTTATTATTGTATGCATTTGATAGAATCTGCTTTTATTTGTTTATATCTAAGAAGCATGGATACAAACATGCCACACAACATGGATACGAGACGGACACGCCAATTTTCAAAAAATGTAGGAAACACCCGTGGGGGATAAGCATGAAATATATAATTTTATACATTTATTATATGTTATATATATGAATATATCATTTAAAAATAATAAAAAATACAATATGACACTAATTTCTATGAATTTGTATAATTTTTGTTTTATTATTGTATCTTGAGTTGTTTTGTTCAAACTTATAATTAGTTTCACATGTGTCTATTCTATAGACACGTGTGTTTAAGCAATAGACAAATGTGTTCTCTAAGTGTTCAAAGAGTGTCTGGATCTTTAAAAAAAACTAAAAAATAAGACACATTTTGAAAAGTGTCGGTATCTGATACGGATACATCACCTTCCTAGAGGTGTCCATGCTTCATAGGTTTGTATTGATTTGTAAGAACTGCACAGTCTATACCTTCCTGTCTTCTCCTTTTGGGCTTGTTCAAGAATTGGCTTTCATTTATTGATTTGGTGATTAAGGGTGTCGTGTTCAGATATTATGTTCCCCTTGATGGTCATTTCGAATCATGGGCAACTGTTTATTTCAATTTATATGTTTTAGTAACGTTTGATGGGATAGTCTTTACTAATTCTGGACTGTCTTCTGATGAACAGGGCTTCCTGGTGTTCTGTGGGTGCTGCCTGATTCATATCTTGACGTTCCTAACAAAGATTATGGAGGTGGGTATTCATATCTTGCATTTCAGCTGTTTGTACTTGCAAATTTTTCCTTCTTCTAATCTTGTATGGTCTTGCTATTCTTGTGATCGGTTTATAGGGGATTTGTTTATCGATGGGAAAGTCATTCATAGGCCGCAGTATAGGTACAATGAGAGGCAACAAACCAGGAACAGGCCTCGCCCACGGTACGATAGGCGTCGGGAGACAATGCAAACCGAAAGGAGGGAGCCATTGCGAAGAGGGGCTGGGGCCCAAGATCAGAGGGGACCTATGCAGCAACAGGTATCAATGGATGGCCAGAATATGTCTGAGAGTGGTGGAGGACCCTCTGTGCATCAGGGCGGTTCTCAGGGGAGCAGTGCCTGATAATTAATTAGTCAACTATCAGAATTTTGAACTTATTGAATCGTGTGAAGGTTGGGTGTTCTTTTTTTCTTTCTTTTAAAGTGGCCTGGCTTCCCCAGCATTGCTATGTATGCTTAACGTGGAAAGTTTTATTTGTCTAACCTCTATAGATGGGTGAAATGTGAATATTTTCTAGGTCATTTCTTATTGGAGCTATTCTACATATTTACAAAATGAAGCTCTTCATTGAACTGCCTACTAAATTATCAGCCTGTTTTGTCATTAGTGGTTGCTGCCACAAATCAGCATGGAATTAACTTATATGTTATGGTGGTCTCAATACCATGTTCATTTCTGTTTTTTCTTTTTTTATTGTCCATCACTAATTCTGAGCGAGTAGTATCGGAGGAAGATAGACCAGTGTCATCTAGTTATATGCACAAGGCACTATTTTCATTCCAATCCTATTTTGAATATCCATTCAGGGTCATTTTCGATGTTTGCATCTAAAATCATGCATCTTGATTGTTCATTGCCAATATTGCCTCTCATCTAGATGTTGTAGACTTGCAGTCCTTATCTACATTTTTTTTTTTTTTTTTTTTTCTGGATATTCTAATTTGTATGTCATATCTATCTGAACAAAACTTCTTTCTTTTTTTTTTTCTTTTTTTTCCATTTCAATACATTTGGGAGTGATTTGAATAGAAAATTCACAATTTGCATCATCTTGATGCTTTTCTAATAAAATGTGATTATTTGTCCAAAAAAAAAGAAAAAAAAGAAAAAAAAGAAAAAGAAATTCATGATTAGCACACGAGTAAGAGGTGACATTACAACTAGGAATTGGATATACTTGTTGTCCCTGCCTGAGCTAGCTGTAATTAATCTATGCAATTAATAAAATTACTGCTCAGCTTAGAGTAGGATCACTGTACATTACATTTTGAGGCCTTTGTCATTTTAATTTTGAGATGTAGGAATTACGGGATGGATAAGATCATCCTCTTTCCAGATGTAGATACCAACTGCAGATTGTTGCTCCTTTCATTCATGTATTTTCTTTCTTTTTCTTTATTAGATATTTTCAATGCATTGGGCACCATTGTGTTCACTTATTGAGGCATTCTTTTTCTTTTGGCTTGATCTTACTACATTCATGTGCAAAACGTTTATTTGAATTGTGCCTATCTTGTGCCTGCTAATGTTATTTATCTATCAAACTGAAAAGTAACTGAAAATTTTGCATATTGAAGTGGAAAAAGATGAATGTTCAGATGAAGGGAGAAAAAGCAATGAAACACAAAACTCTTCCCAAATTTTAGTAAGATATTTTAATGAAATTGTATACAATTGTGTTTTGATCATTTTAAGTAAATTGGAAGGTGCTTCATACCTTCCCTGGTAAGTGAAAATTGGTGTTGTGTGATGAATTTTATGCAAAGATATGGGAGATAGTAATGAAATTCCTGGAGGCATATATGTGGTGGATTTTGATACAGGCAGTTAGGCTTTGGGCATTGTTGAGACAGACCTTGTTTTTGTGTAATATTGGAAGAAAAAGATTCATGGTAATAGAGGTTAATGTTGAAGGCCTCTGTTATTTCATTCTATGAAGTAGTTTTTTTAATGTTGAGGATGGGTGGTGAATGTTATCAATCAAATTTGGCGTTTTTTTTAACCTCTCAACCTATCAAATGGGCAACTCTTGATGTAGGTGTGCAAGGCAAAGATGAAAATGGGTGTGCAATCGTAATACATATTGCATACTCAAAAATTTTAATAAATCAATTTTAAATTATGTTTCATTAGAACATGACTAGAACACAAATTAATGTGGCGTTATCAGGACAGGTGTGGGAGTTGCCACAACAAATTTTTTTTTTCCCCAATAATAGGGTTTCTTAACATATATATAGAGTTCCGATAATAAAATAATAGTTGTATAGGAGCTTACTTACCAAATAAATGTCTCATTGCAATACAATTAAAATTGTATTCCAATAATATACTATAAAATAAAGGGTAAATTATAAATTAAAAAAAAAAATCCTCAAAGTTTCGTGTATTTTTTAATTTAAACCCAAAAGTTTTAATTGTGACAAATTAAATCCTAGAATTTCATTTGTGTTTCAACGTGACTCCTCCGTCCATCTCTGTATCACTTCATCTTCTTCCTTCTTTCAAATTCATACTCACTTGTTCAAACCCTTGTATCTCTCTTATTGTAACTTTATTTCATCTCATTTTCACGTCGTTGTATTCACCTCATAACTTAATTTTCATTCCACTCTTCATACGCCTTATTCTACCTTTTTTTGCATGTCATCAGAGTTTTGAAAATTAACTAAAAATAATAGCTCGCTTGTTTTTGGTTTTTCAAAAACACTTTTCAGAAAATTCTACTTTCTTATTTTTCGTGTTTTTACTAAATTATTTTAATATTTTAAACAATTTTTTTAATTTTTAGAGACACACCTAATTTTTTAAAATATTTTTTCACAAATTTTTTACATTTTAGATACATCTAAGTAAAGTGCATCTAAAAAAGTAAAAAAAATGTTTAAAATTTGAAAAATATTTGCTAAAAAAAAAAAATACGCAAAACAAAAAACTAAATTTTCAAAAAACATAATCCAAAAAACTCAGCGTTTAGTAACGTTTACGTTTTTCGTTTATGTTTACAAAAATTTTATAAACTGATTTTTGTTTATTTTTAGAAAAATATAAATTACAAACGCATTTGGTTTAAACAAAATGTTTCAAAAAATTTAAAAACATAAACTAAAAAATATGTTTGTTCAAGCCTAAAATATTTATATTTATTTTTATTATTTATGACAATGGCAGCACATACATTATAATTGAAAAATAATTAATTAAAAAAATAATTGGAAAAAAAATTAATTAAAAAAAATATTTGAAAAAAAAATTTAATTGAAAAAAAATTAATTGAAATAAAATGAAAAAAAAATTAAGTAAAAAATTAATTGAAAAAAAATTAATTGGGAAAAAAATAATTGAAAAAAAAATTAATTGGAAAAAAATAATTGAAAAAAAATTATTTGAAAAAAAAAATTAAAAACTGAAACGTAAACTCATTTTTTGAGTTTACGTTTTTTTCTCAAATTTATAAACTGAGACAACTATTTATAAACCAAAAAATTATCAAACAAGTTTTTATGACAATTTTTTAATTTTTTGTAAATATAAACTAAAAACTGAAAATGAAATGATTACCAAACAGATATTTTTCTCTTCTTTTTTTCTTCTTTGTTGTTATTACAACAATATTCTTGGTTTCCAATCAACCGTCATCCATTGTTTCTCTTAAAACAAATTGAAAAGTTCCTGCATGATTATTTTTGTGTATATATGTAGATATATGTATTTATTTGGTCATATGAGATTTGAAAGTCAATTAAACTGGGTTTTGTATTCTTTGCTAAAATTTTTAAAAAAAAATTAAAAAATTAAAAAAAAAATTAAACAGAAACAGATTTGAAAAATAATTGAATTGGATCTTTTTTTTCTTAGTTGGAAATCAAATAAGTAGTTCCATGTGTGTATTTATATATATATATATATATATATTGTGCGGGGGTGATTTACGCACTATAAAGAAGAGTTGAACTTCGTGGACAAACAGCGTGCTTTGGGAATTGAAGATCTGCACAGAATAACAAACGGCGAGGCTGCCCGACCGAGGTTTGGTCGGAAACCCCTCCGATGATAAAGTCAGGGACTAAGGGAAAGGAAGATGAGAGAATACAGAGTGTGTATGTGTTAAGTGTATGGATTTTTTTTGATCCCTTGAGAGTGAATAGTGTTCACCTTTTATAGGAGAAGGTTGTTTGTCATTCAAGTCCTTCTTTCTCTGCCATTTGTCCAATGTGTCTTATTCGTGGTCGTCTCCCATTGGAGGAGGACGACCACTCCGCCTGACACTTGGGTGCAGGTCTGTTTTGTTTGTCTCATTAGCGAACGTCTTTCATTGGAGGAGGACGACCACTCCGTCTGTCATTCAGATACAGGTCTGTCTTATATGCACCTTGTCCCTTTGCACCTCCATGTCTCCACGTTCTGTTCATACAGAGAGAGAGGAGCAGAGTTGTTTGTCTCTTGTGGGCCCAAGAAAGATCTTTAGTGAATTGGCCTTCTTTGAGTTGGCCTACTCTAGAATGGTTGTCCAACCAGGAGGTCCAACATGTTGCTCAGCCCACTTCGAAGTGGTTGTCTGTCCATCCAGGAGGTTCAACATATTACTCAACCTACTTCGGAGTGGTTGGCTGCTTGTCCAGGAGGTCTACCATATTGCTCGGCCCACTTTGGAGTGACATTCGTACATTGGGCCGAGCTTCTATGATTGTCTTGCTTCGGAGCAAGTGTTGGCCATAGGGCCGAGGTCCAACCTAGCTCAACCTTGGGGTGAGCATCGCATTGGGCCTAGCACCAAGACTTGATTAATTTTTACTCACTTTATTTGCCCCCTGGCTTGCGTTTACGTTTGGCGAAGCGGAAGCCAATTCTGTCACAAACTTCGAAGTTGGGTTGATCACAACTTAATTTGAGCTTCGTGAGTTGGATTCAAAATTATTGTTCGGCCCAACGTTTGCGTCTGCCCAATATTTCGTAACTCGGTTATGCCCCCAAACTAAATGTGTATCTTCACTAGCCTCGTAATTGTCTAGCTTGGTGCTCTTTCAGTCGGCTGAGCGTCGTTGCTTGACTTGAAAAAATATATGCAGAATAGTAAATATATATATATTCTTGCAATGTTCATCGATTGGGCCGAGCAACATAGCGACGCTTCAAAGCAGGCCAAGTGTCTTTATCACAGCTTTGTTCTACTCGGTTATGCCCCCAAACTAAATGTGTATCTTCACTAGCCTCGTAATTGTTTAGCTTGGTGTTCTTTCAGTCGGTTGAGTGTCGTTGCTTGACTTGAAAAAATATATGCAGAATAGTAAATATATATATATTTTTGCAATGTTCATCGATTGGGCCGAGCAACATAGCGACGCTTCAAAGCAGGCAAGTGTGCTTTATCACAGCTTTGTTCTAATTTGAAAGACATATTCGCTATCTTTTTGCTCGGTCCTACTTGTAGGAGATAAATTGGTGTTGGTCTCAATGCTTGGTTGGCCAAGTCCTGCCCCTCTACTCTGTTCGGTCTCAAAGCATAGCTTGCTAACATTGCTCGGTCATGCGGATCATGCACCATTTTCATGTTTGGACATGATTAGCACGTCTATTTGTTCAGCTCATTTCTTTATATATTGGTCGGTCATTTTACCCTCCAACTTTAGAATTGTCCGTCA